ATTTTCTTTTTTTCGGACATCATCGAACGACGAAAAAACACAAAAACATTGAAATTTGTTGTTTTATTGAATAGAGCGACAATCAAATGTCACAACCGATTGAGTTATAACGATTCGGATGCTTTTGTGGCGTAAGAATGTTTCATTTTCATCAAAAACAGAGAGCAAAAAAAAAATTAACAAACTAACCCGAGAACATGTGAATGACAAATAGGCCGTGAAGGCGAAATGTTTATATAAAGCAATTTCTTCCAAATAGACTTTGGCTTCACTGTTCTGCATATTTAAACAGAAAGTGCACTAATTCGGTTTAAAACATGCAGAAATCCCAGGGATTCCAAATATTTTTAATTAGCGTGAGGCTTCGAATTGGTTCAACTACGTCTATCTGTGTGTGTATGCATGTATAGTTTCCTCTTCGTTTAATTAAAGTCGCCTGTCCTCGGAACTATCGCCTTGTGCTGTCAGACAACGACCGAAACGATCTAGTTGTGGAATCGAAGCAAGAATCACTCAATCCCAGTATATTTCACGTAAAACTCTCCGTTCTATCAAAACCTGCGTGAAAAGCGATCTCGACTGATCTCGAATCTCGAACGAATATTGAACGTCTGTGTAGGTTCCACTGTCTAGTTGCTAATTATTTGAATCTATTGTCCCTCAATGGACTCAAGACATATCAATTTCTTGTGAGAGTGCTGTGAGTTAAAGCACAGCAGAGACTACGCGAATTCGAGTCCTCACCGAGTATCAATAAACATTTCATCTTAGGGCCATGTGCTCACGGCAATGCGTGTACCTGTACCTTGTCTGAAATAGAAACCAACTAATTTTGCGTATCGACGGTTGATGATATTCGAAATGAGAAACAGATTCCAGGGGCTGCAAAACATCAGACATATGATTCGTAAAAGTGTCGAACAAAAACTGCTAATCGACGTGCATCGCGTGTAGGGAACACCTTCTGAATGTTAGCTCGTTTGGGAAAAAAAGCAGAAATAGTTTGAAGTAAATTTTGCTCTCTTTCTCTTACTTCTTCATAGCGGGAACACTGTTGCTATCTATTTCGGATGAACCTATTATTTTATGAATCTAAGTGGATAGATAGAAATCCAGTGTTGTCGATGCTTTATTGACTCATAAAAACCAAATAAAAAGAGAATTCATTTCGTTTATAATTTTGCTGGCACCACGTGTCAATGCATTGCAACGCTAGTTAGCATCACAACAAATTTTTCTATTCGTAAATCATTTTGTCAGCAAAGAATTTTTCACGTTCATGCTACGTTGACAGAGTGTGACGAGGATGGCTACGCTTTACGTTTTGAAAGTCAAATGAAAATCTTCTTTTTTTTAATTAATATTTTTGACAGATTAGAAAAATTCGAGTTGAGTCGTTAGCAGGTCCTAGCAAGACGAGATAGCTGCCTGAACTTGCTGCCAGCATTCGTTGCGCCTCCTCCTTCGCACCTACAAACTATAGGCAATAAATCCAAAAGTCTTGCTACTCTTTGATAGACCACCACTTTACAGTGTGAGATTATTCCAAAAAGAAAAGAAGTAAATTACGAGCACCACATTGACACTGAACTTTTCATAGGAGTGCGTAGCTATGCGCACATGCATGTATGCAAGTCTGGAAAGTACTTGGATACCAACTACAGAAATTGCTTTGCATTTATTGTTGGGTGTTGCTGCTCAAGTTTAATGAAGCGCAGTACCGTTTTTAGCACAACACTCATAAAATCCTATTCAAGTGTCTTAAGAAAATTGTCGAATGGACTTTGTACACAAACAACAAACGAGTAAATCCTATGCTTTGCTTCTTTCTATTCCACTATAAAGTACTTAAGCGTTTCACTAAAGGAGAAGGAGCCCCAGTTGATGATGAGTTCTTCCTAAATGACACTTGTGTGCTAACAAACGATGTACAGCAAGCAAAAATTTACATCACAACTCACTGGCTGACTGACTAACTCTAGCCGTTCTTAGAGCAACTTTGCTCCATAAAGTAATGTCAAATAATTACTGATAAAAAGTACTTGAAATATTTTTGAAACATTCTTCAATTTGCCGAATTTCACTGTACTTTTGTTTTTGTTTTTGTTTTTGTTTTTTTTTTGCATTTCACAACAACGTTTGCGAACAACCAGTTTCCATTAACTAAATCATTCAGATTAGGGCAAATGAATGTGCAGCGTTGCCCTCTCACTGCTAACCTTTTCTCATTTTTTATATTTTACCTGAAAGTTGATAAATTACTTAATCCACTTAGAGTCCTTTACAAACGTTTTTAAACGTAATATGTATGTTAGTACTCATTTGTACCCTAGTGTACCCTGAGTTTCCTAATTCAAAAGTAGAAAAACGAAAACAAAAAAAATGAAGTGATGTGCTCCCTGTTTTTCTGTCAGTATTCCCTACACAAAAATCACTTCCAAACACATTTTTCACATCGAAGGTATAATTTTGTTCAGCAACGCAGTACAAACTAAAGCGTAAACAAGAAAAAGGGCATGAAGCTACACATTAACAAAATGTCGCATTTCTTTTACAAATGATGTAAAGGCATTACATAAATACAACAACAACAACAAGTTGTAGCATTAAATCAAGGCAGTACAAGACATTTTGAAATCGAAATGAAAAATCAATTTTTTTCCCTAAAACTTGTTCTACTTTTCAACAGAGACTCTCGTTTACATCCCCAAGCAAATATCAAGCATTTGGATTTTGAGGACGAATTAAATAACAAAACCCAAGAAGAGTTTTTGTTACTCATAACTTTACATTATGCTCAATAGATTTCTATCTGGAAAAATTCTTGCATATATAAAAAAGTTATTTCGCATCTGTTAAGCAACATTGAAAACACTCATGATGATGATGATGAGAAAATTTTGGGTAAAACAGTTCAATTATATAATAATTTTCACGCACTGATATCTGAAAATACATCTCATTTAACTTCATATAGTGTGCGCGTGTGTGCATGTGTGCATGTGAGTGGTTGTGACCACTTTGGATCGATACTCATAAGAACAGTGCAGCCTAGAATCGTCCATCCTTCTGTCTTTGCACACGTTCTTGTTCCCTGTTGCATCGGATGTTGGGCTACATGCGCCTAACTGAACTGTAAACTGCTACAACAGATTTAAGAGACGAAGCAATGGCAAAATCGATTCTATTAGTGATATGTCAAGAGCAGGGAGTGTATTAAATACGAATGGACGCTAGGAATTTCTAAAAATCTCAGCCACATGCTGTTCTGCCCTTCATCACGCGGTTTTGATTGAAGCGAAACCTTGACACGGAGGGTCCCCATCATTCTTTAACTATAACCGAAAACTATGTACATGGCTGTGTGCATTGATAACAGTACGCTTACGAACTTGAACCGCATGTTGTTCTTCCCTTTATGACAATCTTTCCTCAACAGCTAGTCTGATATACAATATCGGTCCTAATGCTGGTTTCATGCCTTAAGTTGCGTTCACGAATCAACGCAAGTACTTGCGTTGAAGCAGCGATCGCGTAATTGAATATTCAGGCAAAGGGAGTGCATCTTATTCCAAGCTGACTACTATTGACATGTCGTTTGAGCTGACAAATGACGAGATGTTCTTCCTGGGCTTTCTCCTGCTTTTTGCCATTAAAACGGGAATTTTCTACTCGGAATTAAGTTAGCGACCAACTTCGAACAAGGGCATAAAAAAATATTTAAAAATCTGGGAGTAACAAGAATAGTATTTTAGCCACGTGGTCTATTGTTAAATTGTTCTGGAAGAGGGATTAAGAGAAATTGCATTAGAAAAGGATAACAACGCGAGACTCGGGTTACAAAATCCCGCACGAAACATTGCACACAAATAAATCGTCGATTAGACAAGAATCCATCAATGAGGACATGTCAAGTGTCGTTGTGACTTGAAGGTAGAAGATCAGTTCCATTGCGAAGTCAGTCTCTAATAGCGTCTTATGAATCATCCCCCGGAACAACTGGATTTTCTTCGTGAGCAAACGTGCGCCTAAATAGTCCTGCACATCGCCCTCGCTATTGCTTATGATAACGAAGTACTGAAAAGTATTTTACATACTACTGAGCACAAAAGACACGACAAAAAGTTGTTTAGCAATTTATCTTATTTCAAATTATCATTGACTTGATTTCCACAATTATAAGTCGCTTCTTCTTTTTACTTTTTTTTTTAATGTGAATTTGTTGCTCAATAAACTTAATCTCCTCTTAGCGATAGGTTTATAGATTGAGTAAGCAACTATGTGTAGATATTTCGTTGAATAACGTATACAAGGAGATTGATGAAAAGAGATGAAAGGAAAATTTCTAATCTGAGATCAGACTAACAAAACATACAGGAAAAGATGTTTGTTAACTTTGAAGCCTCGATAAAGGAAAATGGCTCGGATGTATTGAAGAGAGTCTTGCGTTTAATCTTCTTCATTAATAACTGGTGATAGCAAAAACTTGACTTGACTCGCTAACAATGCACGGACGATAGCACTGATACTAACCCATTTTAAATGAAACAAAAGCCGTTCGGGGAAAAAATGATTGTTGCCTTTGTAGAATTTGAAGAACTAATCCCGGCGAACAAAGCACTAAAACAAAGTGACGCCAATTTAAAAAACTAAGGGAGAAACACGCTGGGGAGATAGAGAAAACAATTACAAAACAAAAAAAAAAAAAAAAAAAAAAGCAAAGAAAAACAACAACAAAAAAAAAAAACGAAAACGAAATAAACAACAGTAAACCATAACATGCAACGCTGCAATGCACACTTAATTAAAACACCAGCCGCCACATAGACCGGCTGAAAACTTAGTTAAATAGAGGAAAGTTATATCTAAGGGAGTGGGTGATGAGTGGATTTACGTAGATTGCTGCAAAAAATCTAATTAAATGAGCAAACGTCTCAACCCTATGACGACGCATGTGAAGCTTAGGTTTCTTTTTGTTGCTATTGTAATTTATTACTCACCTAGCATAATAGGCGGCAGCAGCCATGGCCTGAGCGGTTTCGAGACTCACTTCAATTTTACCGTGACGATACGGCAGTTTCGCCGTACCATCTTCTTCCAGCACGAGAACATCCTGAAATTCACCAGCTTCCTCTTCGAGAACAATGGGCAAAGCTGACGGCCGCTGATAACGGACATTACTAGTATTGTTAGCTCCGTTGGCAACAGCAGTGCTACCAGCAACGCTGCCACTCACTGTATTGGTATTGTGCAATAGACCGGCTTGCTGTAAAGTGTGTTCAACGGAAAATTGCTGACAACAGTCTTCATTTCCATCCATCATCATCATCGTCGTCATCATCGTCGTCGTCGTCGTCATATCGTTGATGAAAGAATTTGTGCTGTTTGTGTTATTGATATTGGTATTGGTATTGGTGTTGGTGTTGATGTTGGTGTTGCTGTTGATGTTGATGTTGCTGTTGCTGTTATTTAATACTTCATTTGATATTGGGGCGAATTTTATTTCACCGTTAGCTCCTACAGGATGTTCACGTTGCGATGGTTTCTGTTGCATCATATTTGGATTTTTTAAGAGCTTCTCATGTACTTCACTTTGTAATGTGTTGCTTTTTGCCTGTTGTTGCTGCTGCTGTTGCTGTTGTTGTTGCTGTTGTTTTTGTTCTTTTAACTGCTGATAAATGTAGGATTTTTGTTCACCATCAGCTTTAGTACGCTGCTGAAGATTATATTGTTTCGTCGATGCTTGAGTATTGGAATTGTTAGTCGACATAACTAAAGCTGGCGGTGCTGTGTATGCCGGTGGTTGTGAGGCGAACATTTTGCTGTAGCCTTTCTTCTCAGCTTCCTTTTCCGTCGACGATTTTCTATGCGTCTTATGAGACCGACTTTGATTGCTACTGGCTTGTATAATTTTCTTCTTAACTAAACGTGACGGTGGCAAAGGGGGTGGTAACGTGTTGTTAATAGCTTGTAAACGATCGGGGGGCGGTGGTGATATAGGCGACCTCTCCTTAATGGTCTCGTAAACGTGATTTAACGGAGCAGGTGGCGGTGGTTCGTTAAGAAAATGATTTTTGGAATCCATCGGTTCTGTGTACGGCTCCGAAAATTGAAAATAGTGCGGGTAACCGGCGCCAATAGGTTGATGGGTCAATGGCAGCAGTGGTGGTGGAGCAGGCAATTTTAAGAAATGTGTTGGTTTATGGTGCTTTTGTTGCCACATTGGATGTGAAGGTTTTGCAACTTGCTTCCCCTGGTGATGGATTTGTTGTCCTTGGGTCAAACGTTGTTTGTCTTCGATTGCCATAAACGTTGTTTGGTTTAATGAGTTCCTTTCGTAAATGTCATTTAGACAAGTTGTCGCACTTCTAGAAATTTGATTAACGGTTGTTAAAGCTGTTCGCTGCGGCTGCTGCAGCTGCTGTTCTTGCTCTTGCTGTTGTTGTTGCTGTTGACGCTGCTGCTGTTGCATTTGTTGTGGCATATTTACCTGTTGTGTTGGTATGCGACTAATTTTTGGCTCCGAATTTAAAGATTTCGATACTAAAAGAACGCCATCAGCATTGCGGCTGCCGCAATGCCCGCTCGCATTGTGCACTACGTTAGCCTGCATTAAATTTCCATTTAAGTAGGTTGAGTGCATTTGATTCTGCTTTTGTTGTTGCCTCTCATAGACAAAGCTTTTGCCTTTAACTGTTTTCTGTGGTAATGCAACATTTTCAATTTCATATGTTTGTTGTTGTTGCTGCTGCTGCTGCTGTTGTTGATTGCGTTGGTATTGCGTTCTCCTTTGCTGCTGATACTGTTGGTAAGTTGGTCTTTGCATTTGCATTGTTGTCGTCGTTTTCGTTGTTGCCGTTGTTGTCGTCATTGCGGCTGTCGACCCTTGCAGCAGCTGTGTATTTGTTGTTGGATCATCATTCGTACGTTTTAAACCCACATGTCTGTTGGTTCGATGTACGGATGCCTGCAACGGAAACATTCGAAATATTTTGTTAATTACAAATTGTTTGTCGATTATCATTCTCTTGCAAGTTTTGAGGTTTTTTTTGCAAGTGCATGTATCGCAAATTGCAACGCTTAGTGCGGGTGTGTGTTTCTGTGTATGTGCATATGTGTATCTGTACGCGTGGTATGCATGCGTATCGTCGTCCTATTGTAAGTTGAAAACAAATGTTCTTATGAATGTTCGTAGAACGTTCGCTTTTTGGAGAAAATTTAATAGATCCTTAAAGTCGAATGCTTTATGGGCGAAATGCTGCTCTTTCATGTCGCTCCTCATTTTACGTTAATTTCAGTAACATTGTTTGTGTGTGAATATATGCTTCTTATTATACAATTTTATGTCAAATTTCTTTCTCTCATTAAGGCGAAGAACTTGTCTCGTCTTTTAATTACTTCACGTCATTTTGATGATCTTATGTACTCTTTACAGATTTTATGTTCATTTCATTCACATAGCTCTTCTATCCTTTAAAAACTTTCCTGCCCAAAATCTAAAAATATATATTATATTTAACATCATCTTGTATATCGTGCTCATCAGATGTCATGTTATACATAGTTGCTGTTGTTTTCAGTTTTCTTCTCATTTTCTTTTCTTTTCTTTTCTTTTCTTACATTTTATGATTGACATTGAGATGATTTATATACGCCAAGCAATTATATTCCATGATCGGTATGTGAATAGCTATTCATATCAAATTTTATGATGTTTCTCCGTCTTTCGGCCTAAGTAAACGAGCACGAGTCAGTCGCAACGGAACTTACACTTGTCATAAAATTAAAATATGCTATCATTAAGAAACTTTCAAAAAGGGAAAACAACTATGAATTTATGTTCAGCTTACATGATATCATTAGATACCCTACCTCTCTGGTTTTTACATTTTTTTCTTCTTCTTGAACAATTATTTTATGCAAATTATTGGTCATCTCTGCCTTCACATTTTTCGCGTCTTCTGCAAATTTATGAATTCTCCTCGAGAAAAATTGCCCTTCAACACAACCAGCTTTGTAAAGACCTTCAAAGACCCCTAAAGCAATTTTTGACGTCTTGGCGAAGATTTAAATTAAGCTAAAGAAGTCGAGACATTACATTAGTAGCAACCCATCAGATCTTGTTCTTTACACTCATACTAGTAGACTAAACATTCAAGCCAAGTTTGTTGGCCCGCATTTGCCTCAAGTCTTATGAAAATATATTAAAATATTCTGCGTTTTTCAAGCTACAGGGTATAGGGTATGGGTTTACAAAGAGATTCTATGATATTAAAGGCCAGCATTTAACCAGCTTAGACCTTCGTATTGGGGCATTCGTGATCATAAATGAAAACAGGTGCAACCTAGCATACAGACTCTAAAAAATGCCCTTGTACAGCGTAGTGGATTTGGTCGTCTTCCTTATGACAAAAAAATACACACTAAATATTCCGCAAATTACATGCACCTTTAATTAGTAATATGCTGAATCGCTTTAAGGTTGTCCGTCTCTACGTCCTAAAATACGATAATTTATAAATTAGACAAATGCTGATACAAAACTCGCTATAAATATTTGCACACTAAACTTTCACAAAAAAAAAAACCGGTAGCTTTATGCAAATGTCAACTTTACGTTAGTCTACTGACACACACACACACACACACACACACACACACACATGTAATAATGTGTTTTCTCTACTTGCTTTCTACTTTGTTGTCAAAGACTCATCTTAAGATGTGCATAAGTATATGTTTGATGAGGGATATATTTATTTATCAAAACGCTCGCAACGTCTAGAGGAAAGCTTCAGAAACCCTACGAAGCTTATATATGCTAAGTTAGCATCAAATTCTTAACCGGTCTAAGCATGTCTGTCTGTCCGCCTGAATGTCTATCCATCTGTCGATCTGTGCAATGTCTGTTATAAAGGTTCTCGTGGCTGCAAACATGAAGCAATCGAGATCAAATTTGGCCGAAACGTTGAATGTTCTTGCACCCAGATTGATATTGAAAAAGGGGCAAATCGGTCCAAAGAGAGGACTGCAATGCCACGCAAAGTGAAGACATCTCTGTTTTTCAAAAAGGAATAAAAAATTAGTTTTTTGGTTATTACTCGTAATCTTTTGGCGATGCTGTAGTACCTCCACGAAGTTGGAAAAAATCGACTATGCGTACTCTATTCTATAGTGTGTGAAAATATCAGTTTTTTTTCCATAAGCCCGTCTGCGCAATCGCGTTGTATTTGTGGCAAATATTCTCCAGTTTCCAAGAAACACGCCTACAACGTACGTACGTCTATGTAACAACAAGTGTGAACATATCCGCTTTCCATATTTTCTGCTTGATGCTCATAAAACACAACACATACACTATAAAAATTCCTACATTTATTCTGAAAATAGGAATAAATCAACCACGCCCACTCCCCGTTATAGAGTACGAAAGTTTAGTTTTTTTTTTCTTATTTTTACCATCACGGTGGTGGGTATAAAAGATTCGGTCACGATCGAATATAATTTTCTTGTTCGCCATTGTTATTATTATTATTACAATTATTTAGGGCAAAAAAATAAATTGTTTGAATGAAAGTAGGGTGAGCACAGTAGGATGAGGTTCGGTTTTGCGCAGTAAATAAAAATACATAACAAAATTTGGTTATCCTTGAAGTATATATGAAGGGAGGGTTAATTCGAGGATGAGTTGTTATTGAACCCTTCTTCTGATCGACTTAGATTGGACTTGGATTGAGTGCTATGTTAAATTGGATCACGCTTTTCGAAAGCGTAAGCGTGTCTTTCCACTGGATTAGCGTCTGGATAAAACAGATTTTCTCTTAGCAAGTTTTGCTCGGTAATTTCATTGGCTTGGAAACAAGTCTTAGTAAAATGTAGATGTATGCCGTAGCCTCTTTTGTAAACTGCGACCTTTTTTCCCACTTTAGAGCTGAAAGAGCAGACATAGGTTACCTTGAAGACGTTGCAAAGAATGTAACAAATGCCATATGACGCTCAACTTTTTCAGTTGCCACTTCAGATCTAAAGAATCAAACTCTAACGTGTTGATGTAATAGGAATTTTTTTCCCCTCAGGCTGGAAACACAATAAGGCTCCTTTTTTTCAAGCCTCGGAACATATGGAAAGCAACGTAAAAGAAACCATTGCATGGCCCAATTCTGTTGGGAAAATGCAATCATAATACGATAGGCATGCGACGTTACCAATAAATCAGTTATATATGCTGGCGTCAATATAAGGTCTTTTGAAATGCATTACCGAGTTCCTCGGCTCGAATGGTGAAAGTAATAAACGCGTTCGGCCGTATGGATGAAAAGGTCAAGTGTTTGTATCAAATTTTTCATCTTCGCATTGTGATGGGATGTTTATTGATGAATTTCAAAGAAAGTTTTGGAGTTTTTAATGGTTTTAGAAACTTACGAAAAGCGGTTGTACAGCGGTTCTCGAAGATTGCGAAGAGTCGCCGTCACTGCATCTAAGAAAAATGAAAGAAAAGAAAAAAAGATTAAGAAAAGTTCTTCACCAACCGCGCTTCTGTAAATATCTATATGTATGAGTAACTAACTACTTAACCTCTTTTATCTATTATTTTTTGCTTACTAGACAGTGACGTTTTAAGTTGAATGCTTTGGGAGCAATCAGTGGACACACACACGGAAATTTTTTCCTCCTCGGCCTGCTGACTGCTTTCAAGGCGTTCGATTTAGAGATTCAAAGCAAGAAATGCAAAGTGCTTACACATTAAGCCATGTACGAGTTCTTCAGTGATGAACACTGTACATGTATATGAACCCTGTATAACTACTAAGCAGATTCCCTGCTGAGACTGTAGTTATGGATAAGCGAAAATTTCTGTGAGATGATCAAGAAAAATTTCACAGTTGAAGTTTATCTACTTGGTGTAAAGCATTAGATTTCGTTTTATTCATAAGTGCGTTGAAAAAGTCGAAGGAAAATTCAAGTACCCCTTATGTTTTGTATAATGATAGAAAATACAAAAGTGTGCTCTTTCCAGCCGTTTGCAGTTATAAATTATTTGATTTTAAAAAAATATTTATTCTTTGTCTAAGAAAACCTAACATTAGGTTGAACAGGGCGACCACATATTTCTTCAAAGTCTTATTTCAAAGTGGCATTTTTGCTTACTAGCAAAGACACAACCCGCAACAAGAAATACACTATTGTGAACTTATACGTTGTTTGTTATTTCGAAGGCGGAATGAAACCCAGGACAGCAACCTTCTCCTAAAAAATAAATGTTTTTTAAAAATGCGTAGTAAGAATTCTGCGAGACAAGAACCGTTCACAGTTGTTTACCGCAGGGTGGCACTTTCGATTGTTTAAATAATTCACAAGGTGTCGTAAGAACGTCAACAAGAGTATAGGAAAAAAAAAATATCTTAACACGACACCAACGTAAATTAAAAATGACTACAAGAGTATCCGCAACAAAAATTTATTAAAAACGATACCTTTGATCATAATTTATGCAAGTACGGTTTGTAGTCATTTGTAGATGGTATTAGTGTGGTTAGTAATCATTTGTATTGAATTTATTCATATTAAATATGTTCCTACACCTTTTTCAATGAATCTAAACAACTCAGAAAAATTCTCCCCCGCAACATTTTTTTTTGTTTACGTTTCTATGGCACGTGTTTCATCTTGCTGTATGGAATATTTTACTAAAAACTCGGATTGATATGTGAATGGATGCATATTTATTTATTTATTTTATTAAGGAAATTTAAAAAAAATATAATTTAGCAACTTTTCTTAAAAAACGATAATTCAAAAAGCTATGCAGGAAAGACGAAAAATAGTTCCTTAATATTGATTCGAACTCAATTCAAATTTGCTCAAAATTTGGTAGAAAGTGGAAAGTGGAGGCCAGCCATCTTCGCCTCTGGTTAGTTACGATCCCTATTGCGAACATGCAGTGTATACTTTTGGTCATACGCTAATGTTCCTAAACAGCTTGAGTGGAGAATGTCATAATTGATATCTTGGTTTAGATACTAAAATTAATTTGCGATCATTTCAAGTGACCTATCATCCTCATATTCACTGCCGTTCTGTAACTTTAGATGGCCATGTAGTTGATCCTGATGGAACTTTATCAACGCGTTTCAAAACCTAAAGGTAGTAAGCAAAAATGATGTGAAATTAATCGCCTAAACCACGATATCAAAGAACCTATTGAACGGGATGAACTTAGTCCATGTTTCGCTTTCAAATCGTTCGGAATTAGTTTTTTGAAATTTAATTTAGTGTAGGGAACATTTTGTAGATTGCAATAATAATATGTTCCAGTCTCGACTAACAACTCGCAGTGGTCGTAGATTCAAATATCAACTTCGGTAGAGTTTTTAGTAAAGCCAGCCGACAGCCTTTCGATGCTTGCCTGTGCTTTTTTTCTCTAGCTAAATTAATAAAAATAATAGCCTGCAATAGAGGTAACCGGTAAAAGATTTAACTCAACTCTTTTCACCACATATCGAAAGTCGCAAATAACGTCGGGCTGAGCCGATGTTATTTGCGCAATGAACTCATTTAGTGTAATAATAACTTTCTCTAACATGTATCCCTGCAAAATTTTATTCGAATTTATGAGAAAAGTATTTTTACCTGTTGTTGTCCTCGTTTAAGTCCAAACGTTGCTGCTGTAGGAGTTTGGTAACCACGTTCGAAGATCTATGGTTACGTCGACTCGACTTGGAACGTTTTAACATGATGTCCCGGATAAGCTCTTTAATGTGATAATCAATGATTTTTAATTTACATCCGCATAAACAATTTTATTATTATTTGGCTCCGTATTATAGCAACAAAAGCTATTTTATTGAAGTAATCGTAGGACGGTGTCGTGAAAATTCTTTGCAATTGTAAATTAGCTGAAACGAAAAATTTGCAAAAAAATCACATTAAATGCACAACAAAATTTAATTATGCAAAAAAAAAAAAATAATAATTTGACATAACATAACCTAATATAAAGGAATAAAAAAACAAGTACGCTATGGGATTCAAAATCATTCCGTGTCATGGGCTCATACTTGTTGTGTTCGGCTGAAAAATATTAGCCAAAATTGCCTGACATCATCTTCCCTGGCAGGTTGGATTACGACAGAACGGTATGGTAAGGTAATGTAAATGGAAACTAGCCGAAGTTAGTTTAACTGAACTTGGAGAAAGTTGACAAAACTTTAGACAAGGACGACTTGCTTTTGTTTGCACAGCGTGAGACATCTTGTGAAAGACACTCATACACACACCTAAGTGCGCAGAGTGCTATACGAATTCCTAATAAAGCTAATTTCTTCAATGTACCGGGCAAGGCGGTATAAATAAACAAAAGCTCTTCACAATTCTAATGACAGAACCTAACGAACAGTGAGTGCACGATTAACAATGGAAAGAATTAACAGATGCTATCGATCAACGCAAGTTGATATCATTTCGAAACCTTTGCATCGTCGCTGCTGTTTGAGATCAAAACGGACACCGTATACCGAAACTGATCTGTTTCCTTTGTCGTTTACCATAAAATCGCTTAGGGCGTGACACATATATACGTATAAACATATACATAGACTATAGACAATCTAAGAAACCGCCGTGTTGGAGTGGCACAAGGGCTTCATAATGCAAAAAAGAATTCCATTGCGAGGAAAACAATATCCGTTCCGTTTGAAATTTTTTTTACACAATCCTTATACATGCAGGATAGAAAGAAAGGATACACGTAGTTCTTTTTGAGAATCTCTTATATGCGTGACTGAAAAGCTTTGCTTCACGCGCTCACTCATACCTCATTCGCATACGAATTCCTTTTATTCCTATTAAGTACTCATTACACGTAATCGTGCAACGAAGCCAGAACCACTGTTAGGGGGAATTTTTGAAGTAAAAAGAAAATAAATAGGGCGACAGCCCTATATCGCAGACTTCTGACAGTAAGCAGTAACAGGAAATTTATTAAAAAAGGTTATAGTTTGTCAAAATTTTACAATTTATTAAAAAAAAAAAATGGAATGTCAATTAATTTTTTCGAATCCTTCTCAACTTTTCGACAAATTTCTGGTATCTTTAGTCACATTTTGCTCACTAAAATGCATGATGGAACACTTGGGTCGAATTGGTAAAACTAACAAAAATGCAAAACTCGTCTCCGACGAACGGTCAAAGCGGTAAGCTAACGCAAGCCACGGGGATTCATATGAATTAATTTTATTATCTTTCAGGTCAAATATAATTAAGCAACAAAAAGTAGACCGTAATGGAGTTATGATGGCGTCGAATATGTTGCTACAAATGTACGTTAATTAAAATTGAGTTTCACTTCAATTGAAGTGGTAACCAAGTGGAGTAACCAATAAAGTCATGGAAGAATATTACATTGAATAATGGATATATAAAATGTTAAGCGATTTCGCATTTCTCTGGATTTCTCTTCCGGTTCTACACAGGCGCTATTTTCCTCGCTTGGTTCTCTCCCTCTTTAACTCTCTTTTCTTTCCACAACTTGTTTCTCGCCCTCTCTCTCAGGCTTAATCTTTTTTGCGAAATTTTTTCTGCTTGTCTTCCTTTTCTCCTTTCTCCCTTTCCCTCTTTCTTCGTTTCGTTAATTTCCTTATTCTCTTCTTTCTGAAGTACATTCGATCAACTGGGTTCACACATTTCCTAGGTCTGGCTAAGTAACTGCGTAACAATGCAAAATATCTTCTGACAGACTTGGCCACGCTTAGCAAAGATTTCTTATTTTAACAGCATTTGTTGTGCTTGTTGTGTTGAAGATCCCTCATCAGGTGAATATTACTTTCTCACTCTTTTTTTGTTTTTAAGCAATAAAGTATCGGAAATCCGTGAGGAAAGTAATAGCTCCCATCGGCAGATATTTACGGTTTCTTAATAGTCTATTAAGAATAATTTTCATTGGATAAAGTCGGAAGAACGAAAGTTTTAAGTAATTGTCCAGCGTTCCTAACGTTCAAAGATTTACTTGAAGAGGACATTTTGAATGGCAACGTTTCGGATGCCCTTCGAAGTCCTACTAAACATGTTTTATATACAATCCCATCACAATTACGGTTCGCTTAAATATTTATTTGTTATCGTTTCCCATATGTTTTATTGGAATTCGTTTGCAATCGGAAGACACGAAGGAAGCGTTGAACAGAACGTGTCTTTCTCGCCGCCTTTAAGGCAAAGCACAAGGTATCTATATTAGGTAACAAAATGGTTAGTAGGACATGTTCGAAATAACGAAATTTGACACAGATGAGCGGACTATCTTTGGAATGCCGTTATTTCTCTGAGTTGATCTCTTAGCTTTGTTCTAAGGCATTTCGAATTTCCGTCCCTGGCTGCAGCCTTGTTGCATTCCTTTTAATACCTTTCGCCGGAAGTGCAGTTCAGTAGTACACGCTTTGCGTGTGCCTTCCCCTGTAAACGCACATATTCACTCATTTCGTTACATCAAAATTACTTTAGTATCATAGCTGATGGCGGGCACGATTACAGAAATATGTCAAAAGCCATTCATTTCAAAGCTAAATGCTATATACCTTACTATGTAGATGCGTGTGCAGAAAATCCAGATAAAATGAGAAGCCAAAGGAAACTCTTTATTAAAGAATTCAGTAAATCCTTTAGTTATACTTTGTTTTTATTCTCTTCTTTTTTTTTTTTAACAAAAAATGCGAAGCAATCATCACTAAGAGCCATAATGTAAAGCAACTGTAGGGAGTTTATACGCAATTGTATAAATTTAACCGAAAAGAGATAAAAATCTTACATTTTGTTGTTTTTTTATACAAATCTGGCTTTCATTTCACAAACCAACCAACTACTGGGTACCGAGTTGCTGAGCTGCTAATACTCTATTTACTGCCGTTTAAAAAGCAATTTTTATAAAATTGTTGGTGTTTTTTTTTTTTTTTTGTTTTGTAAGAAGATTTACATATCGTCGATGACTTTGTATCAAAACGGGGTATCTAGCGAGGCTTTTCTATTGTTTTTAATTAAATGGCGGCTTTTAAAATTCATGATAAATTTATTTTAAAATATTATATGGGTTTTGTGGTCTTTTTTATGGCCAGAGGTAAGTCGGCGATATTCAATTAATGTGCAAAACTTGCTTTTGTTGTTTTTTTCTTTTTTTAATTTTTTCATAATTTCGTCTGGCCGTTGTGGGGTATTTTTATGTGATAAAATGATTAATAGCCAATAATTTTATGGTTTACAATAAATTCAAAAAGCATTAATATGTACATTGAACGAGTACGTGAGCAACATATTTTTAAAGTAAAAAAAAAAAAATTTGTTTTTTTTTATTTCTACATTCATCAACTGAAGTACATTAGGTTTGCCTCTAACCCATAGAAAAAATCATAGGAAAGCTCATAAGCATACTTATCATCAAGATGAGTAGTTGGCTCTCTTCATCTATCATCTTTCTGCTACTGTACCGTTACTACTCCTACTACTGTGAGCGTAAGATAATAATTACTTTGCCAAAACTGTACCTAGGATGAATTAGGTTCGCCCACAATCAGTAAAAATCGAAAAACTATACTTTTGTTTGTTTCTTTCGTTCATGTCAGATTGATTACGCAATTCTTGAATGAAGTTATTTTTACGCTAACCGCGACGTTTGCATAGCTGCCCAAATGTGTAACGTTGGGTGTCAAGAGAAAGAAACTAAACTAAAAGTGATTTCATACACTGCTTTAATATACAGCTCGAGACACATAGATACACCGCATATTTCAACCTTGGAACAAACACAAAAACTTATCAAAAGAATCTTTAAAAGTATAGACAAAGACTTTGTATTCATTTGAAAATCGGGTTAAAGATATATTTAAAAAAGCCTCAAAACGTTGCAATGAAAACAATTTTCAAGGTCTGGAAATAGTTTGTCGCTAAGAATAGGATAACATTTCTCGTATAAAGAAGTCATTACTGACCTTTCTAAGAGACGACATTGTTTTGTATGAAAATGGAGAACTAAGACTCTTCTCGCAATCTTTTCCTGTTTTAAACCATGTCATCACGACATATAAAGGCTTACAGTCAATTCGTGAACGTAGTCTCTTTTACACTTTTTGTTACTCTCACACCCATCAATTTCTTCACATGACATGTTATACTCATATACTACATTACTTTTTACACATCGGAATTTACTCCTCGCTGTTATTTTCTATCCTACGCGACGGACGAGTAATATGCGTGGCTTAATAAAAGCTAAAAAAAAAAAACAAAAAATAACGAGTAAACGTATAAGACTTTAAACAAATAACCACTAGAATAAATAAATAATAATATTATATAGCAAATCCAAGTCCAACTTTACTAAAGCCTAAGCAAAGAACTCTATGTTCACATTGGGCCTTTTTTACACCCCTCAGCGAATTTTCGATTGTTGATTGGCTGAATAACAGAAGAACGAGGGACTTCTTCATATGGCGGTACGGTTCCTAAGCTTTACGCCGCCACGTAAGTTATACGGTTGAGGAATGCAAGAGGATTTGAGAGTTTTGAATAGATCAGAAGCAGTGTTACTTCTTCCTGATTAATTCGAAGTAGACTTTTGCTCAATTTTCACAGGAAAAAAGGTGAGAGGTAGCCACTAACATCGATAAAAAAGCTGAGTAATTTTGACGCCATCTTCAAAGAAATTCGTTAGGCATAAGTCCAACCCAATGCAGCCATTTCCAATGGAAGCTACCAAACAAACGTGGCTAAAGTACTCGAGCAGTTATGAGCGGATGATTTTTGAGCATGAGAATGAAATTCTTTCATTTCTGATCAACACTAGTTCCAAATGATGAGTGTACGGTAAAAAGTGGACTTCTAATCCGATAGTGTCGAAGGATTTCGATTTGGG